TCTCAGTACCAACCTAGTGTGCCAGTCAAATTTGGAGAACTTTCAATGTGGCGAAATGGTTTATATAAACATCCATTTTTGCAGCGCTGTTCCATGGGTTGGCTAGCTGCTAGCCCAGTGCTGCTATTAAGCACCAGCACATCTTCTTTCCGGAGCATTGACTTTACCGCGGCATGTGGCCGTGAAACCGAAGGGGTATGCGCTTGGAGTGTGTCCAAAGCACATGACTGTTCCAATACTTTTCATGGGGCATGGGCTATATTCATTGTATTTGCCCTTGTTCACCTCTAGAAAGAGGTGCCATGTTGCTATTTCAAGGCCTTACAAGCTGTGCTTCTCAAGGATTCCTCCAACGGAGTTGGTTCTCTTGGCAAGTTCTGTGATCATGTCAGTTGAAAACCCTTACCCAGATGGACAAACTTGTTCCGCATGAGACGAAGCATGGCGTGCGGACCAATGCAAGCAGGCAATGGATCCCCATGTTTTGCAGGCAAAACAAAAGGCAACTGGAGAAAACATGCTTTGAATATAATTGAATCATCTTCCCTGTTTCTCTTCTTCCATCCAAAAAAATCACCCCGCAAAGAGAGACCGCCCAGCTTCGCCCCTGGACCTTCCGAAAGCACCGTCGGGCGGACACCGCCTGCGGGACATCCTCGCTGAAGCGCAGGAGGAACATGACCGAGGCGCCGGAGGCTTCGAGCCTGGGAGAAGAGGCGGCACGAAACGCGGAGGGTGTGGACTCGTCCGTTGGGTTTTCCGTTGTTTTTTTTGGGTACCCTTTTTTGCGGTGTATGTGGTGTGACAGAACTCGATGGTTGACATTTCACACAGACCTAGCAACACTACAAAGAAATACTGGCAGTGTTCTAGTAGGTGTTTTTGAATATTTTAAGTGAACTGTTGCTATTCATCTCTTACTGTTTTAGTAAGTGCTTTTGGTGAACAGTAACTGTTCATCCCTGAAAGATGGATTTCGCTCAGCCCCGCGCCGGTGCAGGGACACTTCACCCTCCTGTGTCACCTGAGGCTCCACTAAGAGACAGCGGTGGTGGTCTCACGGATAGCAAACGCTGTCAACCGATGAGAAAAACAAGAAAGGCGAAAACAACAAAGGCAAAGTTCTGTATCAAACATCCTCCTGGAAGTTTGACTTTCAATGCCTCATGCAATAGCGACTGGTGAGGTTCCGAATGTGGCGACTGGTGCGTGGGCTTCAATCGTGCTGATTTGTGCTGACGATCCAACCCGCATGATGCACATGGCCCTCAATCAAAACTGTGTCCCCCCCCCCCCCCCCCCCCACCAGCAGGAGTTTGCGATCGGAGGGTTTCAACGCACAAGCACGGATGCGGGAAGCAGCTTGGACCTGGCCGGGCTGAGGCGGGTGGCCAGAAATTCAGATTTTCGCAAACCATCCATGAAATTCCCACAGTTCACCAAACTCTACCAGGTAGCCCACCGTGCCAGGGCCCAGCATGTCAGTGTCACAAAGCATTGCAGATGCGATGAGATGCGAGCATTGGTGTTGGGACCTGTTCTCAGGTCCCAAAAACTATCATCGGTCCTCCGAACCGTGCCGTCGTGCCGGTACTTCACCCGAACCTCACACCGCATCGAAGAGGAATTGGAGATCACGTCGACGCGGGTGCCTTCCAGCGCACAACGGCGGTGCGGCACCGCGGTTCGGCGCGCTGCGCGAAGGAAAGAGCGCTTTTGGCTCGTTGAGGTCCTATGGGGTCTGGCGGGCTTTTTGATGCTCTGAAAAGGGTCAAATCACTCTTCTCTTCCAAGAGAAATCGCGGACTTCCGTACCTGTGGAATCCAGCAAGCACGAGAACTGCTCATTGGAGGCGACCACCAATCCCTGGCAAAATGCACACCGCACAGAAACCGTCATGGGCAAAAAACATGCAAAAACCAGTTGTGAGGTGTTGTGAATGGATAGAATGGCCAATCCAGCTGTCCTTTGAAGTTCTTGCACTGCTTGTGCATGCTCGTGCCTTCACAGCCGGTTTCCCAGCACCTGATCATGCCACGGGGCAAATGGAGCCGACCATGCTGCGGCTCTACAAAAAAAACAAATCATCATGAGAAATCGAGAAAGGTGAAAAAAAGTAACAAGAAAGAACAAGACCATCCAAGAACAGAAAATGGAGAACACCAGGAAGACGTCTTTGGTCCGTGTTTGTCACCTGATCAAAATTCAGAAGTCATCCAACCCCTGCAGGTCGTTCAAGGCTCTCAATTCGGGCGCGCCCGTTGGAACGCGTGCCGCACGATTCCGCTTCGGGCGCACCCGTTGGACCCCCGCCTCGCGCCAGCTGAAGCTCTAAGGGGTGCAGCTCCACATCCCGGCCACGGGGGATCTGCAAAAAGCGTCCGTCCTGATCGTTGAATCGTTGAAATTCGAGAAAATTAAATCCTTCAGGATTGCTAAAAACCCTCAAGCAAACAAAGTGTGAAGTTGTGCTAGATTCGAGGTGAAAAGGAGCAGCTAGATACTGCGAGCCCACTACAAGTAGCCGCGCACGCTGTCTTGCTCTGCGACTTCTGTAACCTTTTCATGGCCCTCGAACCCACCTGCCGCGCCACTTCCCGGGGCGGCGAAGGGAGCCCCGGAGGACGACCTGAGAAGGTCAAAACGGCCAGAAGGTTCCGTGGATTCCGTGGTTCACGCGCCTCCAAAGGACTACCTTCGATTTTGTAGCCATGAAGACTTCGCGGCCTTTTTTCTTCTGGAACTTCTGCTTGACTGCTTGAGGAAGCGACTGCACACTCAGGATCCCATAAGCCAAGCCACTCGGATTGGCGGATGGCGTGGCCGGTGCCTCCGCGGTCGGCTCCGCAGCTTCTTCGGCACCCGGTTCCGGGGGATCTTCGTGGACCTGGGCGGACCCTGGGCGTCCGAGGTTGAAGGCAGCTTTGGCAAGTACCAGTACATACCACCATTGACACTGAACTGCGATGACTGATCGGCAAAGACCTGGTTCAAACCCAAAGTGAGAGTCCATTCGTTCTCCTCCGAAGGCATGCTTTCCAAGCATCCCACCATTCGAGGAGACCCCTGCACCTCCAGATCAGCCACAAACGACGGGATGGGGTCATCCGGTTTCAAACCTGCGCGCAGAGCGGAGTATTGGTAAAGAGTACTTTCACCAAAAACACCTGCGACCAGAAGGGGCTTACTGAAGAACCACTCGCGGTCCATGAGCAATTACTTGGGCCTCGTGCATTGGAATCATCGTGTGCCGAATATTTTGCAGTTGACATTCAAAGGACTTTGCAAGCACTTGAAGGTCGAAGTGCTTGTCGTTGACCTTACGTTTTCTGTCGAACTGAGTGACTATGTGAATTTAACCTTCTGTCGCCTCCCTTTCAAACCTGGCTGGCCGCATCTGGCCTGGAGGCATCTCAGGGAGGACTGCCTCATTCGCTGGATCAGTGCCGACCTGCAGTGCCAGCAGCCGAACAGCCAAGGGTTGAGCGACCCGCGAGGGACCTCAGGCGACCCTCCACATGGACCGGAAGGTTCCTTTTGAGACCCGGAGATGGCCGGTGGCGCATGACCCGAAAACAAGCCGAACAGGTGAAGAGTTAAAATCGACCTGGGCAGTCAAGTTGAAGGAGACGCTTGACGTGTCTCACCCAAAAGGCCTGCTTTTCCAAAGGCCGAATTCAGCTTTGTCTCGGCTTCGAAGACCAGGCCTCCTTCTCCTCCAATTCGTCGAAGTCGAACATGTCGCGTCCGTCCAGCGTCCAGGGCCGGCCTGTCCCAGGGCCTGTCATGGGACTGATGGATCGATCGGAAACCAAATCACGTCAAATCGTCAGCATTCATCGGTATGCATTCATTAGCATAGATCAGTGTACCATAGTACAGTATACCATAGTACAGTATCAGTGTATAGTATTCCATAGTACAGTAACCAGATCAGTGTAGCATGGTACAGTAATGTACAGTAGATCAGTGGCAGGTGACTCATCAGGAACTGGAGTCTCATCCGGTGACTCGTTTGCGCCCCGCCGTTTGCGCGCCTAGCGGGCCTAGCGGCTGAGCAGCTGTGGCCAGCGCATGGTCCGTAGTTCCAACGCTCAAATCAATGGTGAAAGCTGCTTTGGGATGGTGGTCATCGTGACATACAAATACCTTACATAACACCGACCTAAAATTAACATGGCTGGACTTATAGCTCTTGCAACATGAGTGCTAGTCCCTTCTCCATGAACTTGTAAATCTCCAGCGCTACACATCGTAGCACGGAGCACCAGGCCGCATTGCCTGCTAAAGACTCAATGTCTTTCTTCCATACCCATTTCGGGGTGTGTCAATTGTAACTACAGCAACTGGCACGGCAACCAGATTGCTCCTCAAGAGTTCACACTGCTATGGTGGTTTGTGCGCCTGCTGCTGATGGTGCTCCGTTGTATCTTGGGTTTCGAGTTCCGATCGTCCTCTTGGCGGACTTCTACTTGAAGCTGATTGAGCAGCTCGTGGCCAATCGCAAGGGCTCCCGCTCCATGCGAACGGATATCGGTCAATGAAAGAGTGGACCAGTGGACCAGCTCTACGGCGCAGCGAAGCTGCTTGAGGGAAGTCTGTCTGAGCTGTCCAGGAGTGAACAAGGAATCCTGCTTGGGGCTGGGATGTTGTGTGGAACATCAAAACGGAGTCAGCTGTCATCAGCTGTCATGCCTTCTGCAAAGGGTAACGCTCTGATCCTTTTTCTGTGCGCTTCAAAACGATTTCCAAGAGATGCATGGCTGCACAGCTTCCTTTACCATCTCCCAGCGAACCACAATTCTTTGTTGCTGATTACAAAAACAGCATGATATCAACCGCCTATCAACAGCATCTTGCACCCAAAGTTGCCTCCACATTGAGCGACAGTATCTTCCAAAGTTGGAAACAAAACAACCCGACGTTCCTTTCATCATGTACACATACAAATCAGAACGAGATCGCACCACGAAACACCAAATATACACATCGTTTCATAACGATCACGGTCTCGACTGCAAAGGGAAGTTGTACAGCAGCTATCTGAAGCAGTCCCATTCGGGAGAGCTGAGTCGTGCTCACTTGTTAGGCCTTGCAACGCGGCGACTTCCCTGGGTGGGTTTTAGTCAATTGGGTGATATTGGGTGTAACTTAGGGGTATCTGCAGGTTTCGTTCGTCCTTCAGGTTGTGCGTGAGACTTGTTTTCCATGTCCGCCGCCCTTTTCACAGGAAGGGGCCCCTTTACTTGACCTCAGCCTTCGACCATGGCTGGAATCTGAGCCAACGGGCTCGTGGAAAAGACCGCTGTCCTACCGAGGACATCCATCGCTCGACCATTTGTTAGGGAAGCCCACTACGCCACCCGGCGCGCTCCTGCTACATTGGTAGCGGAGCGAAAGCTCCTGGACCTTTTCGACTTGAAGTTCATCGCTTTTGTCCTCTTTGGCGGTGTCTTCAAGCAGCGGTGTTCCTTGACTTCGCTGGTGGTCTATCAATTCCTTCGCTCTGGACCTCCGGTGTCTTGGCACTGCTGAGCTCTTTTTCCTAGCCTTTGGAGAAGGCGACCTTTTTGACTTTGACCTAGCAAGCCTTGGACCTTGCCAGACCTTTTTCCTTGACTTTGTCTTCGGCACCTTCCTGGTGGCATGGCGGAACAGAGGGACGGACCTGTCCCCACATGGGATGGACAAGCTCGTGGCTGGAGGCGCTACACAAAGAAGTGGCGTGGTATGTCTCATCAACTCCTGTGCGCAAGAGACGCTATGTTGCTTCTCGCCTCATCAGCCGACTTCAAGGACCTGCGCGCCTTTTGGCTATGTCATGGAACCGTGGCGAATTCGATGCCCCGGATGGAACTTTGACATTGCTCCGGAAGCTAGCAGGCTCGCCGCTTGTGCGGCGCACCCTACCAAACACGGCCGCGATCCTTCAGCAGTACCTGAGCTTTAGGCGACGGCCCAACCAAAGTATGGCCAACTTTCTCGTCCGAGAAACGTTAGGCTATCAGGAATTCTCCGAGGCCTTGACGAGGCTATGGGGGAAAAGAATGGCATCGACCAGAACGAGCTTGACTTCGGTTGAAGATCAATGGGACTGGTGGCATGACGATGATGGCAACGAAGTCGATTCGCCTGATGGCGGTGCGCCTTTGGATGACCCTCCTGGCGATGACGCTCCAGCTCCAACGACTACCACTACAAGCGCCTCGGCTGCAGCAGGTGGCAACTCTGGTTCAGCTCCTCCCCGAGCCGTGGTGGCTTCAGCGCTGGACCTCCTTCGCTTCGCGCAGTGTCGGTGCAAGCACCTTCCGTGGCCATGAACGAGCTCTCACCTACGGACAGCTTCATCATGGGAGTTCTTCGTGGCTGGAAACTCCAAGCCGCATGCTTGAATGCTGAGGAGACCCGTGACATCCTCAGCGCGACTCAGAACAAATTGGAATTTGAAGCCATCTCACAGGCTCTCCAGAATGTGTGGGACGAACAACTACTTGGCCAACGTCATCACCACTCATCGTTTCCTGACCGTGACCATGGCTATGTGAACTGGCAATCCTGGGAGGATGAACCTCATGACTCCTGGGATGGCGATGGTTGGTGGCCTGATGGTGGTGACCAGCAATGGCATGAACAATGGCCTGATGATGAGTGGGGCGAATGGCATGAAGAACCTATGGTGACTCCACCCTTGCGGCAGTGGACGAAGAGGATGAGTTGGCAGAAGCACAGCGCGCAACACAGCAGATGCGCAAGGACAGAGGCTTTGGGCAAGCTGGCCAAGGCCCAAAGTGTTTTCAATGTGGTGGACCACACTTTGTTCGAGATTGCCCTGACCGACGGCATCCACCCTACTCCATCGGCAAGGGCAAGGGAAAGTCTTCCTACATTTCCTACATGGCCGACTACACCGACCAGCAGCTCTTCTTCATGAAGGGGAAGGGCAAAAAGGGAAAGGGGAAATCCAAGCACGCCTCCATGGTTTCTCATGATAGTTTTTGGACCTCCAAGTCGAAGGGGAAGCAGCGTGGTAAGATGATTCTACCCCCTCGCCCGGCAGTGAATCCCTACACCATGCACTATGACCTCGGAGGTCTTGAGCTCTATGAGGATATGAACAACTTGTCCGCCACGATGCCAGAGGCATCGGCAGCGTCCACAGGAATGTTTGACTGTGGCTTCTGCAGCTCCGGATGTGGCCATTCGTGGACTCATCCAATCGATCCTTTCTCACGACAAGAACGCCCGCATTGACGCGCAGCCATGCATGCGGCCCTTTTTCAGGTTTGGGAACGGAAGATGGGGGCAGGCACTATATCGTGTCACAATTGGTTCAAGGGCCTCAGGTGAACTTCGTCAGTTTTCGATCCCCACCCCCATGAAGGGGGGGGACCTTTTTATTGTAACTTGCATTTTCCATAGGTTGGCCACCCAAAAATGTAACGTTACATTTTTGGGGTGTAGACCTTTTTATTGTAAGTTACATTTTTTGGCTGGCGTGTACCCAGGAAATGCACCAGAAGAACCAGTGAAGTTACATTTATCTAAGAAAATGTAAGTTACTATTTGGGATGTGTGGAAATGCATGCACAGACACAATGTGAGCTAAGCATGCACTGAAAACTACTGCAAATAGCAGCAAATATCAGCAAATGACACTAAACACGTCTCTTTTCCTGCAGGCGCGACCCCGGTCCCTCCAAGCGTCTGCTAAAGCCATTGCTCTATGTTCTGAAGACCATCTCTGGTCACTCCATGGAACAGTTCCATGTCATTTCCCAATTAATGTCCTTATGTTTCCTTGACCTAAGTGACTTGCGCTAACAATTTCCTGACCCCCCCCCCCCCAAAAAAATCATTTTTTTTTTTTTGGGGGGGGGGAAATTATTTTTTCCCCCCCCCCCGAAAATGTAAGTTACAATAAAAAGGTCCCCCCCCCATTTTGAGTGCCCAAGGGGGTGGTGATAGTTTTCGCTGTTTTCACTCCCCAATCCAGAAGAGATGAACCCCAAGAACGTTGTCCCGGTTTTGATCGGCATGGACCACATTGGTGCACATGGTTGTCAGATGTTGGTTGATTTTGCTAGTGGCTATGTCATTGATGGTGTAGACCCCAAACCCGAGATCTATCAACTGGACACCAATTCCAAGGGTCATTTTGTCTACGACATCGTTCACCACCTCACCAAGGGTCACACCAACTCCAAGGGTACGGCAGTTGTGCACATTTGTGAACAACATGAACAACAAGATCTTGCTTGTGGAGTTTTGCAATTTCGCCCTCTTGAGTTTTACAATGCGCGTGTTTCAGTGGCAAGTCACGTGAACGAAGCCGGTCGTCGATCTCTTCTTTGGAAGCTCTATCAGCATGTGAAGTCTTCATCTACCTCTGCAGCTTCTCTGGCTCACATGAGCTCAACAGCTACAAGCCCCACTGACCCGGACGACATCTCCTTTCGTGCTCACCTGCGAGGCCATGTCGCGAAGCCCAATGGAGCATCAGACGACTCAAGCCGAGCAGGATATGGTGGACTTCATCAGGACTCTCCGGCCGCCTGCGGCCAAGAAGCCCTCGCAACCTCCGGACACCTCTCGAGCGATCCAGATGGATCCTCGCGATCCGAGGGCTCAAAACTGTTGGCCTTGCTACAACTACCACGTCCAAGGAACGTGGCAGAGCAACATGCATGCACGGAACCTGGTCGCACTGCGAGATCTGCAATTTGCGCTTGGCCTACATCCCAAAGCAGGGCGCTCCAAGCAATTCGACCCAGGCACCCAACCACGTGATGATCAAGCGCATGTTGGACGAGCTGGAACCGTTGATGCAGGGCACGCGCCCGACAGCTCGAATCTGCAAGGCCATGATGGACAAGATCACCGCGGACACTCAGCTGGAGACCTTGGTTCAGCAGGCGATCAACACGCCTGTGAAGAAGACAGCGGTGAAATCCCGAAGTGCTCCAACATCGCATCAGGCGTCCCCTGTGAAGCAAGAGCCCACGGGATATCAGACTCCTCCGGCGATCCAGACGCCGCCCGTTCCGTCAAGTTCAGCGAGCTGGGAACTTCTGCAGACGGACACCAACGACCTGCAGAACCTCCTGACCGACCACGAGAAGGCTCAGCTCATGAAGATCCTTCGAGACCGCCGACAGGAACAGGAAGAACTGCCAGCGGCCTACGAGGACGAGAGCGGTCAGCAGCAGTGATGGATGATGATGCATCATCTCAACAGAGCTCTACGGCTTCTGTGCACTATGTCCAACCTACTTCATTGAAGAGTGCTTCAAAGACCTCCAAGACTATAACATCAGCGAGCTCTACCACACGATTGGGCCACAAGGTCATGCACATGATGAACCTCATGACGGCTTCGCTGATGATGGTGGCTCTTCAGATCAATCTGGAAGGACGCATGGGCATGTGGGAAATTGCATGCTCTGAGAACAGCTGGCTCACCTCAGCTGCCAATGAGCATGGCATCAACAGCCGGCGCATCAACTACGCCCAGGGCTATGACATCTACCATGAGGAAACCTGGGAGCGTCTCAAACAGGAACGTCGACAAGATCGACCTCGCAAGCTTTGGTTCTCACTTCCTCAATGGACTCAGGTAAACTACAACACCCCCGAGAAGAAGGAAGTCTTGGAGTCTATGGGACGTCGCGAACGTCCCATGCTACGGAAAGCCAAGGACTTCATCCTGGACTCCCTCGATGACGACCCTGACATCGACATCTACTTTGAATGAACATTCCCACGCAGTGGCTGGAGTCAAAAGCCCATGGTTGAACTTGAATCTGAACTACACCATCGTGGCATTCCATGGGAGCAATGCCGTATGGATGGATGCAACTATGGCATGATGGACAAGAATGAAACTGGCTACCTACACAAATGGTGGATGATCAAGACCACCGATGAGCTCTTCTGAAAACCTGCTGAAGAATCTCATGGTGACCTTGAACCAGCAGGTGACGTGGTGGCAGCGGCTCCTGACGTCTTTGAGGGCGTCACTCCTCAAGAACAAGAAGCCTGGCAAGCCAAGCTCAATCATTATCATCGAGCCGCAGGACACCCGACCAACAAGAACCTCATACACCTCTTCAAGGACGCTGGACTTCCGGCCTGGAAACCATGGCACGAGATCTCAAGCGCCCAGCGCGCACTAGCATCAAACCTGGCGGCGCTTCCTCTGGTTTGGTGCCTCCGGCAGCGACCTCTCTGGCTTACCGACCATGGGAGGCAGTGGGTGTGGACTCTTCAGAATGGCTGGCGCCCAACCAAAAGGTGAAGCTGAAATTCATCGCGTTCATCGACCTGCCGACATGCCTTCGTGTGATACACATCGTGAAGGTCTATGGCTTCCTTGAGATGCAAGGCGAAAGCTCTGCTGACTTCATTCAAGGCTTCGCCGAGAGATGGTTGAGTGACAAACCTAAACCTCGCATCCTCATTCCGGACAATGCGGCAGCCTTCAAAAGCCGAGAAGTACATGACTTCTGCAACCAAGTTGGCATCCAGCTGACCTTTCCCGCTGAAAAAGAATCGTGGGCGCATGGCATTGTCGAGTCCGCGATCAAGGACATCAAGATGACAGCATCGGCTATCCAGATAGATCAACCCTCTCTGGATCCAAAGGTCACTCTCATGCTTTCAGCAGCCGCTCTGAACTCCACCGAGTGCACCAAGGGCTACAGCTCCTATCAATGGTGCTATGGCAAGGACTACACTCTGGAGGACGAAGACGTCCGCACATTCCAAGACCCTCTACAAAATGGCAACAGCATGTCCTATGAAGCCCTGGTCAGAGCTCGACAAGATGCTGAAACCACTGCTCGCAAAACTCGAGCACTTCGAGTGATGAGCCGACTGAAGAACAGCACTGTTCGACAGCCTCTTCGAACCTTCCATCCAACGCAGCTGGTCAAAGTGTGGCGACGTGAATGGCCTGCTCATCTCCATCAAGGCAAAGGTGGGGGTGGCAGAAAGGCTACAAAGTCTCACTGGATTGGTCCTGGCCGTGTGATCTTCCACGAAGTCCTACCTCATCAAGATCATGAAGATGAACGACGACACAGCGTCTGGGCGCTGATTGGAACTCAGCTGATGAGGTGCAGTGTACACTCTGTTCGACCAGTCACCACGACTGATACAGATGGCCTATGAGATCGCCAACAAGGACGACCCAACTCAGTGGCGATCGATTGCTGATCTTCTCCCTCAGCGAGACTTCACGGACCACTGACCAAGTACCTGGAGAACATGAACAAGAAGAACCTGGCCTACCGGATCAACCTGATCCTGATCAAGCTCTTGTACCACTTCGAAGACCTGGTTTCAAGCAACGTGTTCCTCCTTCTGGTATGGTACCGGCAGCAGTTTGCCGCCGACTACAAGAGCTGGAGGACACGGGAGAATATGATCCCTCCATACCGGATGAACCAGCACCTCCTGATCCCTCCATCGAGGTTGTGAATGACTATGGCACTGGCAGTGCACCATCTACGGGACCTCCAGTTCCGGCAGAGGAACCTTCATCGATCGCGCCGCCTGATGAGAAACGCAGAAAGACAGACCACGATGACTCTGACCTCCTCAACGTGTCTCCCAGGCAGCTGATCAACCACAGCGATGCCAAATGGCTCAACAACTTGGTCGTTGAGGAAAATCAAAGTTGGGAATGTTTTGAAACCATTTTGGGCGACAACCCCGACGTGATGACCATGGAGTTTGAGCTCAACTTCACCTCAAAGTGGCAGCAAAAGTTGTTCCTCCGCAACCCGACCGCATTCCTGGTCGAGAAGATGAGAGACTCTGAAGTGATCTTCAGCAAGCTCTCTGCTGAACATCGCGCCCTCTTCACCCGGGCGAAGACCAAGGAAGTCAATAGCTTCATACAGAACCAAGCAGTCCGCAAGAGCATGAATGACGCTGAGACCAAGGCAGCCCTCAGCTCTGGCAGAATTCTGAGACAAGCTCTCCTGCGCAATCGGTCATTGCCCGAAACCTCCTCTACCAGATCACCTGCCAACATGGCTGGAAGTTGGAAGGCCTAGATACTACATCGACATGCTCACCGATGTGGAGATTCCTGCTGAACGCCTACTTGATGAACAAGCTCCATTGTCCAAGCAGGACCTAGCAGCTTGCAGGGCAAGCCTCGGAGCGCTTCAATGGCTCGCTGTCCAAACTCAGCCTCTCCTATGCGGCAGGTGCAACATCCTCCTCAGCGAGTTCATAAAAAAAAACGACACAATGGCACATGCCATGGAGATTCAGAAGATGATTGGCGAAGTGCGGCAATCTCCAAGTGACCTCAAGTTCTTCAAGCTGAAGAAGGCCAAGACTTGGCGTGATGCATCATCACCTTTGCAGACCAGGCACACGTGAACCGGCCTGGTGGAGACTCCACCGGAGGCATCATCACGATGCTCGCTGGCCCTGAGGCCAAATCTGGCCAGGTGTGCCCCATGGTTCTCCTTTCATGGAGAGCCTGGAAGCTGAAGCGCAAGGCCATCGGCTCCAATGATGCTGAAGCGCAGGCAGTGCTGGAAGGCGAGGACGCCAATACGGCGCAGGATGGGACCGTCCGGTCCATGCTGACCAGGTGTCGTGGGCCGAGCAACAAGCTCGCGACATACCTGGAATCCTGTGCACGGATTCCAGAGGTGCACGGATTCCAGAGGTGGCTACGATGCCGTACAGGTCAATGAGAGTCCGCTTCTTGGACTCAGTAACCTGCGAAGTGCACTGCAAGCAATGCAACTCCGTGAGAGCATGATGAGAGTCGGCACCTCATTGAGATGGCTGTCAAGCGAGTACGACTTAGCCGATAGCATGACCAAGAAACGACCTGACTGCCGAACAGGTCTTGCAAAGTACCTGGCCAAGCGCTTGTGGTGCATAGCCTTCGACCCCTCCTTCACGGCTGCGAAGAAGAACGCCAAGAGTGGCCGCACCGCTGTGAGAGCCATAGATGAAGCAGCACAGCCTGACTTTTCCTTTTAGACTGGTGCAGCTTTCGTTCGTCCTTCAGGTTGTGCGTGAGACTTGTTTTCCATGTCCGCCGCCCTTTTCACAGGAAGGGGCCCCTTTACTTGACCTCAGCCTTCGACCATGGCTGGAATCTGAGCCGACGGGCTCGTGGAAAAGACCGCTGTCCTACCGAGGACATCCATCGTTCGACCATTTGTTAGGGAAGCCCACTACGCCACCCGGCGCGCTCCTGCTACAGTCTCCCTCTTCTCAAATGCTGGGCTTGAGACGGTCTCCCAGGCCTCTACTTTGAGATACGCGGCCACGAAGACTTCATGCTTCGAGGAGACTGACCGGTGCCGAATTCTAGGACTTTAGCTCGCGTCTCGGCGACAGGGGGGAAACAAGGGACCCCGGCCCGAAGTGTCAGAATAATATATATATATTATATATATATATAACAATAGTTTCTATATGTTTCTATGCTACCACTCATAGGTTCAGATTCTTCTCAATTCGTGTCCAAGTCGCTGCAAAGGCATCATCCCAACGGCTACCATCATCGGGGACCTGGACGACGCAGCTCCATCGTATTATATGTGGCGGCTGAAACCCAACCGGTTCCAGGTTCCAGGGTCGATCTAGAACCCCGAAGGGTTGGGGCCCCAATTGGGCCTTGCACCGGCCTGGCCATGGTCATCTCAGTCGTCGGATGTCAAGGGGATCGTCCATTCAAGGGGATCGCGCCCAGAATCTGATCTGATTGGACGTCTCGCTGCGTGTCGCTGCACGTGGAGATCAAGGAGCAGATGGAAAAGGGTCTATTCGAGTCATTTGAGTCTATTTGTGACCAGAACAATGAGGTGACAATATGCGAATAAACGAATAACTCCCTGCAGGATCCTTTGAATGAATTCAGCTCAAAAAAGACGCACCACACCCCCCACCACACCTCCATGTAGCAGCAAAAATCGGCAGTGTCCCCCACGTTGCTGAGGAAGACCTGGACATGCCGGTGGAAGGTTGAATCCACATAAGTCCAAAACAACATAGTTGGGTTGGGAGCCACAAAGTCGGTTGGGTTGGGAACCTCTCAGCAACATCAGGACACACTTTTGGTATCTTTTGGTCCAGTGACTGCTGCTTCGGACGGTCCACTTTGTGTTTAAGCTGCACGTGAAGCGTCTTCCATGTCCCAAAAACCATGCAAAAGATCTCCGCTGGAGGTATCTGGACAGACTTCTACTCTCGTGATGGAACTTCACCGCCCCACCTTGCCAAATAAAGACGTCTTCTCGACACGACCAAAGTTATGCACCACCTGCTGCTGCGGCGCGCGCCGCGAGCGTCGCTTCCACCACCGCGGGGGCGCTGTGGAGCAAGTGGACGACACATGGCCCACATGTTAAGGATCTACGCAAGAACTGTCTCAAAATGGTCTATGCAAAGGGGTACAAGAACGGTCTCAGACTATCTTTACAATCCTACAGATCAACACTCCATGAGCTTCATTCCCACACCCGTGCCAGCTCCAGTGTCAAGAGTCGCTTGAAGTAAGCTCTGAGATCGTGAATGACCTGTCAACTCGACCAATTAAATGGCTTCCCAACTACTCCAGCACCCCGTGCATCGACCTCGCCCTCCTTGAAAACTAGGGCTTCTCCTTCCTCGGCAGCATGCAGTGGGCAACGTTTCACGTGACCAGGCTGGAACCACTGCCAACTGGGAAACACAAAAGGTACGAAGATATCAGCCATGTCAACGTGTGTTTTGCTCATGTTTGCTCGTGTTCTTCCCTGAAGGCGCCGCTCATTTTCGTAGTAAAATCTCGGAAGCTGAAGTGCATGATAGCTGAAGGTGCCGCCGCTCTGTGAATGGAAGCACCGTGCAGGTGTCATGAAAAACCACTCCTGCACCTTCCCGTCATTCCCGATCACTCCGAATGGCCTGTTTGACACCAAGAATGAGCAAGAAAGACCGCGGCAAGAGCCCGGAAGCTGAGAAACTTGGTGGAAAGCTGCATTGAGATCTGGACAGCGATGAGTAGTTTTCTGATGTTTTCTGCATACCTTTCGAGAAAGCCAAGGCTCATCAATTGCCAGTGTGGCCGCTGTGTCCGGGGAGAGCAAAAAGCCGTTCTCACCCTGCTGACGACAACTACCTTGAAGGCTGCGGCCGGTTGTTCAGCTCCAGGATTAGTCCCAGGCACATGCGCCCTGGTTGATCTTTATTTCGGAGCCATTTTTTCAGTTTGAAAATGACTGACTGTTGATTGAAGATGTCAAGCTTCTGCAACCACCAACGGAGCCGCGCCCCACCCCCCGGCGGACGCGCAACATGCCAAGGTGCCACTGGCCAGGGTGGCAGACATGCCGATCCAGAAGCCGTTCGGGAAGGAATGGTCCTAGGCTTGCCAGAGAGCTGTTGGGGATGTTGGATCTCTATGTAGAACCCCAGATAAACAAAAAAAACATGTGATAGATCCCCACCAAGAATGTCTTGGAAAGCGTTTTTTTTCAGATCCTTTTCCATCTATGTTGGGGAAACCACCCACAAAAACTGGGTGACGACGGGTGACGGAGTCCACCGACACGTGTCATTGGTCCAAGACACATCTGTGGCTTCCCTGGTCAAGCCGAAGCAAGCCCCTCCAGTGAGCGTCTTTGGAGCGCAGGCGATGCGCACCACAGTGTCCCTGAGCAGCCAAGAATGTTCAGAGATGTTCAGAGATGTTCAGAGTGTTCATCCCAACTGGTTCTTGCTGTAAATCAACGATATATGAACTCACGGCCGCAAACTGCCAACACCTCCCAGCAAGACAATCGGGGGGATGTCTTGCCACAACATAGCCCAAGTGAGAACAAAAAGCCGCCGAGGCTTCTGTTCGAAAAGCCACATGGAGCAAGGCATGCCAGTCTCCCGATCCCAATGAATCATGGCCGGGTCGCATCATGGAAGTGGAGTAGCCATCGTAACATCTGTTCTTGCCATCAGATTTGGAAATCTCCCCATCCACCATCACGACATTGGTCCAAAAGAACTCCTAACGGAGACCCGCAAAGCAAAATAGTGCAGTGGTGGCGATCTTCATTGGCCTGAACTTCTAGCTTCCAGCTGCAAGTAGCTGGTGAAAAGTAATGCGGTTCGCCTGAGTCGACCAGAACGGTTCTGCTTACCCGAGAGTGAGCATCCCTTGAAAGCATGTTTGATGGAAACCAGACGTGTGTGATCTTCATTGTTGGGGGCAGTGTTTGGGAGAGATTGGCTTCTGATGATGATGATGATGTTGCCCAAGCTCCGCTGCCTTGTTTCCGGTCGCAATCTTGATCTACTTCTGTGCTGCTCAAGAACCTCTCTGCCGGAGCTATGGACCTCGCTTGAGATTCGACCCATTTTTGCTGTCCCCAAGCCACAAGCACTCGATGTGCTTTGTGGCTTTGTGACTCGTCCCGGCCCAACCACTCCGGCATGGGCGCCTCCTCCGGGATGGGCTTAAACACCTCGTCGGAGTCGTGGGAGTCCAGTTGCACCAGGTGCTGCGCCGGCAGAAAGCGCGCATCGGTGGTGGGGTTCTGGTCTCACAGGTGGGCCGGTGTGGGGGGACCAAGAAACCAATGGGTTTAGCCTTGCCGCCTTGCTTCTTGATCACCCCCAAATTTGGGCCGGCCTCCCCATAGCATAGCGTAAGAGATAGTCAGGACCCCAACCAACGGGTTTTGGTCACGGTCTAAGTCTAAGTCAAATTTAATATTAATCAATTAATACATCCTTGGTCAATCAAACATGTTGGTCCTACTATTGCTTGGTCCCTTTCACCCGTCTAAAACATGGGCTCCTCATCAACAAGAAGTCACGGAATCTGCAGCTGACATATCTGTATCTCCCTCTCTTCAATATCCTTCAGACATTCTGTGTCCAACGATTTTTCTATTCCGTTTACAGCCTTCCAATGACCTCTATATCCACAGGCTACTTCGGGTTTGAGACGCATCAATCCATAAAGATTTGAGACACCTGGACTGCTTGTACCGTGAGAGAGCACAACTGGAACTCTTACCCTTTCCAGTCCCTGCGATTCCAACTCCATCGAAATGTGCTGGCTCAACCTGGCCCAACACATGACCCTCCTGCCACGGTTTGAAAGAATTAGCACCGCAAAAAAATCGCACGTCACTGGAGCCTCTTCCGCCGTCACAGGTGGCGGCGGAGCTTGCAGACCCATCATCCTGGTCTCTGTGACGGACTTGGAGCTTCTCCTGTCCGACTGGTCCCCCTGTGACCCGGGTTCCGCCAGACCGACCATCCAACAACGCAGCTTTCCGCAGGCGGCGTCGAAAGCTTCAAAAGCTTCTGCAGGTGTCGCGTTGCCACTTGCTAAAGGCTGCCAAAGCTGTTCATCCAAATCTCTCTGCGGCGAAAACAATAGGGCGCCTTTCATATTTTTGATGCGGCGGCAGCAGTGTGCCATTTCCTCGGCGCAACCGACTCAGCCACCAATCGCGATCTGTCAGTGAGCGAGGGTGACCCAACGATCAATGGTAGCTTCGTGAGGCTTCTGGGTCATAGAGCCAGTTGCGCTTCTGGGTGACCAAAGAGAGGACCACGGGTGGCGAGACATCAAAAGAGAATGACATTTCATCAAAAAAGACGACCAACACACCATTCCGTTCCCACTTCTTCTTGCCTTCCTCTCCTGTGTCAGACGCTACGCTTTTTGTAGACCGACGCCTCCTTGTTGAAGTCAAGGTGCTCAAAGCCTCGAACTCGAACTCCTCTTCCTGGAACCTCAGGAGCAGCAGGGTTTTTCAATCTCGCATGGAGCAGGTCGCATGGACCCTATTGTCGTGGTTTCTACTCAAACTTAAGTCCTTCATCTTTACGCTATCGATGCATGCATAATGGTTTCAGAGCAAATTTATGTTGGTAATTGTAGGTATGAATTGCACATGCATGCAAACATGTCGAGATCATTTCAGAATATGTTTAGATGACAGCTGACTACAGCTCACCAAGTCCTCTGTTGTTGAAGCGCGCACTAATGCAAGCAGTGGGACAAACTGCTACAGTAGGAGTTGGTCTCACACAAATAACCTCACTTGAGACCAGGTCAGTCCAGGTGTGCAGCGTCCTTGGTTCGTTGCAGCCCGAGCACCATCGATGCTGACGCACTTGGCTGCTTCCAGAGCTGCCCAGCCGCTTGTCACTGCTGGGACTGAGTAGTCCCTTGGATGAGCAGACAATAATCGATCAGTTTTTGTATGCCCTTGATGCACTCTCCTCCAAACTAGCCAGGGAACACAGTGCTCTTCCAAGACTCTTCAACCCACAGCATGGGGCTATGTTTGTTGGGGGAGTGTTAGTGTCAAATGGAGCGTCTTGAAGTCTTTGGACAGCTGCAATTGAACTTACAAATAGGTTTGCGATGCCTCGGGCAGGAACAATGTCCACGACGTATCGCTAGTTTGAACGCTCCCAAATGCAAGTTTTTATCAGCCAAATATGCTCCGCCTGATTTCCTTGATACTACTTCGCTGAGCATTAAAATGCGGAACTTGAGCCAAATGATGTCCCACTCTTTCCCTATGAAGCAGTTCCTAATGGTCTCCCCTGTCAACCTTGCCGGGGCACAATCGTGAAGGCAATGGCCGCCTGGCTTTACTGAAACGATTGCGTCTACCAGTTTTCCAACGGGTGAACATCCAGACTGAGCAGCCAAACCTTCCAGGCCTGGGCCAATCCTTCATGCTGAGCCTTCCAAACCCAAACGCCCGACATCTCTCTTTGGGGGGGGCAAAAAACCAAAAGATCTTTCATGAATTTTTCGTTTCCATTCCGTCCAGTCTCACAGTTGTCCCGCCACAACCTCGAAATTCCCAAAGATTCCAAAATGATCTGCGCCCGCCTGAGGAGTGTCCTCAGGTGTTTGGAAACGGAATGCAAAATGACATGCAAAACGCAAAAGCGGTCGCAGGAGGCAAGCAGGTCTGCAGATTCTGACCCGTCACCCACAAATGCAAACTATAAATATATGTATATATATATAGATGCATATCTATATAAACATTTACACATCATGCGACTCTTCAGATAATATATATATATATACATATATTCATATGTGTTTGCAAGTAACATGCATATACGTGTTGTATACATATATACATATATATATATACTCAAATATAGATATACATACACATACATATCCCCCCTTGCAATTTCACGGATGGGGATGTGCAGGGCATGTGGTTCCTACAAAACAGCGGACTTTTGAAAAATTGTATTCCTCCTTACGACTAAATACTAAATGATCTTCCACTCACTACAAAATGACAGACCCCCTGAAAAAGAACGCCAAACACAGGCTGCTACAAAATGACAGTGAGAGACACTGCTGGTGGTGGCAAGCACGCTACTTGCAATGGGTCATCACAAAACCCTGATCCTGGTGTTGTTCCTTCTTCAACAGCAGATTCCAAGAAAAGAAAATGAGGAGAAGAACGCCGACGAGTAAGAGTCAGGCCAGGAATAGGATGAAGATCATGATGGCACGGTGGAAGTTGGCTCCGAGAGCGCACATGAGTGCTTGGAAGAAGTCCTGCGCTGGCTGACACAGGAAACAGCATCTGTGGTCTCATTGCAAGGCACTTTGTCACAATGCTTGTGTATGGAGACATTGCACGCAGGACTTGTGTGGGATGGTGCTGTAGGTGGCCAAAAGTTTGAGGATTTCATTCCCCGGCGCTAACTAGCTGTAATTCATTTTTTGGGGATTTCATTGCTGACTGGCATGGAGGCACCGATCGGCGCCCTGCCACAACAGTGGTGAACGGTGAACAAGCAAAACCCTATCATTCCTTCTCGGTGGGTTGAGTTTTGGACGCTACTTCCTGTCTCGCATAGCTTTTCAGGAGGTTTGCAGGACTTGGGTTGTGCTTTTAGCTTGTCTTCTTCGCTCGTTTCCTTTCCCTTGCGCATCCAACACGATCAAACCCGTTTCCCTGCAAACTTCTTGAACTGTCTTTTTAATTAACAGCACAGGCTTTTGCGCGCGCAGGTGGTGGCAACAGATTGACAAAGCTGCTTGGCAATGTAGCCATGCCAAGACGTGTTTTTGATAAACGCATCTCCTTAGTTGAGATTGGAACACGCATGGCTGAAAAGGCAATTGAACGCCCGTGCCATTTTGAGGGCGGTCAAATTGACGGGCAAGGGTCACGTGAGACAGTATATGCGTCGCCAGGGGATTGCCATAGGCTCAGGCGTAGCACTTTTTGTCATGGATCAGCTGCTGCCACTGCCAGCCAGTTGCGTGGCCATGAAGGCAGCAGGATGTAACGCGGTGGAGAAGAGCCTAGTGGTCACGACTGAAACGAGGTAGAGACCGAATTTTTCTCCTCCCAAGACCTCGTTGTTGTCCTGAGAGGTAGTCATGTCAATGACGCGCCGTCGACCTCTTCTGCCGAGGAATCCCGCCAGCAACCGCACGACCGGCTTGGACGCCACCACGCAGTCGGCAGTGCATCGGTCCACGCCCGCCCTACCGAGACAAGAGATCACCATGTGGTGAGAAGGCTGCTTTGCTTTTACAACGCCCTGGACACCAAACCTGGAAGTTTCGACGTTCCACGCAAGGTGTCGTGTAATGACCAACTTTCAGATGATGCACGGTTTGTCTTTCGCCTCTTCGTGCGCGTCGACTCCTGACACTGAACCGCCCCTGTCGCTGCATCCCTGCGCGCTGGGCGCTGCTTGCGGCGCCGGCGGACGCGGCGACCTCACAGCTGTGCCAAGCAAGGTTTCGTGGAGCTCGTGCACACACACAACTTTTCGAGGTTCGAAAGTGCAGCGGGCCCAAGCAGAACACAGTTCAAAACACATTCCAACCTGTATGATACATGATGTGTCAGGGCACAAGCCAGACTTGATCCCAGAACAAGCACCAGTACATGGTGTCGATCGCATGTCCGCCTCTCAGGGTGGGGATCACTAAGCAAAGCAACTTTTCTTCCCACATTTTGTGGCGGGTCACAAGCATGGTTGAAAAACATTCGTAGGCAAACTTCAGCTGAAAGGTGTTTAGAAGCACTACTGGCAAACGTGTGGGGGGCTGGGCGTGCAAGGGGGTAAACCGTTCAAGCATTGTGTTGGTGGGGTATCGGTAAGGGAAGCCCAGGACTCGCCTTAGTGTGGAATTTCCCCTGGCGCACGTGCAGCCACATGATTTTCTTCTTCGTTCCTAGCATGATATCTCAGACATCTGTTTGAAGATCACCAAAAAAACACGGGGTTGCGCTTCCCGATATACCTTCCAAACACATTGGCAGGTGATCTTCTCTGCAAAATGAGTGGTCATGGAGCCTCTTCCTATCTCGATCTCTCGTAATGCATCTGATTCTCTACAAAATGCAGGGATACCTGGGCGTATGAGGTAGTTGTTCACTACTATTACACCCATCTGTACTTGCCCTTGTCCTTGTCACTGCTCATTTTGTAGTGAAAATGCACAGGGAGATATATATTATACATATATATAATATATAAAGTATGTAATACAATATATAATAACATACAATATATAATATATGTTTTGTTTTAATAAATAGAGAGAGAGAGAGGTATATGGCGCTTCATCATGCAAGTACCGTGAAGGCATGCAAAGGCATTGCAGAAGTCATTGGAACAACAGGAGGGAAATATCCACACTGCACCCCTAAGTGAACTGATAGGGCGCATTGAGAAATGAAGCGTCTAAACTTTAAACGTCACCTCGTCTGCGTCTTCGAGCTGGCTCTGAACCAAGTCAGTTCAATCCGACCAACGAATCAAAGAATGTATGTGCGTCATCCGCTCCCATCAGCTCGGACTCCTCATCCAAGTCTCTGCTGGCAGGTCGCGCTGAGGTAGCGGTTTGGCCTCACACCCAGTCCGACTCGCTCCGAAAAGGGTGACATGGAAGACCTGGATCTCCCAACAGCCACACCTCTGCTCTCAACTCTCATCTTTGGGCGCTCAGTCAATTGAGCCGAAAAAAACAACCATGTCTTTTTGGGGGCGTCAAGCAAAGCGACAGTTCCACAAAAGTGTCCCAAACATTGGGAGATGAAACCAGGGATCTCTCTGTCAGCCGGCCCGCGCCTGCTGCCCACGGCGCACGGTGAAGGGCGCGTTGGCTAAGTTGTCGCCCCCAAGCCAGGGCGTCTGCCCCGACCTGAGGTGAGGTGGCCGGCTACCGGTCAAGCCCTCTTCCTTCACTTGGGCTCAAGTCTTTGCAGGGTATTTGGAGTCCAAAAAAAGTGAGCCAAACCTTGCCAAGTGGGATTTCTGGCGAACCGGAAGGCTTGTTTTTCACTCTTTCCACTCTCCGAGACACAAGAGCTCGAAGGTGAGAACACCCAAGGCCCACCAGTCGACCTCGTGTGTGAGGTCACGTCGTCGTTTGCGAGGTAACGCCCAAAGCGGCTTTCTGGGAAGTTCCACGGATTCCAACAATGCACGAATGAAGAGCCCCCTGAGGCTGCTGAAGAGTTGGAAGTAACATGATTTCCCCCACCATGTCATGAATCTCATTGAATCTCCTAGATGTCTGCTGTGGTTGCTGTGGTTGGTCAGGCCATCTGTTCGCACAGAAACGCTTCCAGCCTTCTCATCATGCTCGTGTGGAAAGTCCAAGATCTCCGGAGCCATATATTCCTTGGATTGGGAGGCCTTCCATGACTGAACTCAGGTAGAGAAGCTGCTACTGCAGCGTGTTGGAATGGTGGAGGCTGAGAACCACTCCAAAATGAACATCAACAGTGACTCCAAGAGATTAGCAATGTTTGAATCAACTGTATACATATCCTTTCCTGGAGCACCATATGACAACAACTTGAATCCACTCAAGCTAGGCTCTGGAGTGCCCAGGAAGGTGTAGGTCTTTTTCAACACGAAGCGTGCGAAGCCAAGGTCACAAATCTTTGCATAGCCCCTGCCAGGCACGGCACAGCCCAAAATTACATGCAAACTCCCCAACTGGGGCCCAGCCGACTATGCGTCCATGGACCATCCTTTGGACATTTATTTTCTGTACCATACAGAAGTTTGGTTGTGGGGTTCGTTCTGTTGCTGGTTGGTTGATTTGGTGTGATGACAGGGCGCTGGGCATGTGTATGGTTTCCCCCTTGAGATGTATGTTGGATGGTGACTGACCAGTGGGGGATTCATTAGCAGTTGAAGACACCACAATTCAATGCTGGGTTCCTGCCTCCCATGTTTTGGCAAACAGCCTTCTCTCTCACACTCTATCGAATTAGCTCGCTCCCTTTCGTGCTACTGTTGCAGGTGTTTTGAGGGAGGTTGGTTGGGTGTCGCGTTTTTGGCGGTACTGCCGATCTTTGGCATTTGAATATCAATCGAAAAATGTCGGGATTTCAGTTTGGATGGCCCTGCTTGATCAATCAAGGGGTTGACGCGCTTGTGGGAGATCCCTGAGCGCGGCAGCCAGGCAGCCTTTCTCGTCGAGCGGTAGACTTGGCAAGGAAGTTGGATGTGGCTGCTGTGGCTCGTGACAGGGTTGTGCATGCCTTGTTTGAGGGTTGACTTTTCTTCGCTTCCTTTCCGGTCTGACTGGAACTGGAACTGATGCGTGATGCGTGGAACTTGGACTCACTGCTTCACTGCCCACCACAAAAAGGAATGGAAAGCGCAAGCCTTGCTATGAACTGGTTCTGTTGATGTATATAGTTCGGCATTGCAATTCAACATGACAAACCTGAAATCAAAGGCTCTTCAGCTGTTAACTCCCGCCCACTCGGGTCATCCAGCCTGTCATCCAGCAACACGTTGCCAGGTTTTAAATCTCCTAGGATGAGCGGAGGAGCAAAGGGAAGTATATCTATATAGATCTGCTGTTTCAGGATATCTATGTGGTCGTCCGTGTCCACCCCAGCTAGCAATTAAGAGGAACACAACATCTGTGTGCGTGTGTTGGCTGGTAGACCTCGATTGCGAAGCATCCAGCCAGGTTTCCCGGCAAAAAGAGCATGGTTCAGTGGCTTAAGCTTCCAATCGTCCAAAGGTCTCATGAGTTCCCTCTCTGTAAAAGACCTTCTGAAATCAACTCAACATTTAGTCTGTAACATGGCATACGGGCATACGAGATCCTCCCATCCCTCTCATCACTACTGACTTATCAACGTACATACGTCAACCCTTCAGATCACCCCGAGACCACCGAGACCACCGGTCGCACCCATGTCACCGGCCCTGCAAAACACCCCCACCGAGGCGCGATGCGCAATCTTCCGCTCGTGCAAATGGCCCAGACCCTCGATGATACACGCCAAGTAAAACATCACATCCTGGAGAAATCCGTCCGAGAAATCGGGTGGATGGAAGCTCGCGGACGCGGTCCTTCCCGCTGCGGCGTAGTGGGCATCACGGTTGATCATTTGGAAGTTGAGTTTCTCAAGGCGCTGAAAGATCTCTTTGGCCCACCCAAGTCTTGAGACCTTTTTCGATGTTTCTGGTTACTCACTCATTCACCAATGCCACACACGAGGGGTGTCTGCAAGTCTTGCCTTGCTCTATGATCACCGATCACTCCACTGCACATGTCTAGAGAACTTGATTTATGGGTGTCATCTTGATGGTCTGAGCGCCCTCATCTGAACCCTCTTTATATACATCGCCCATGGTGCCCCTTCCACCCTTTCCCACCACTCGTCCGCACCGCGTCCTGTGCCCAGCGACGCATGGAACTCCCACGTGCGCTGCGGCTGGCGCAGATCACGTCCTCCAGGCAGCCGCCTTCGGCGGCTTCAATCAACATGTACCTGGCGAGCCGCTTCAATCGGAACTCAGGGGCGATTCGCTCGCCACGAGCGGAGGAAGCGGTGTGCAAGGCGGTGCAAGGCGGTGCAAGGCGGTGCAAGGCGGTGCAAG